TGGCTCACACTAACTTGTGATATGTCTCGCACTTGTGATCAAATAACACGCCGGCTCGCACTTTGGCAACACTCTTTGGCAGCCAACTCGCCCCCCAGAAAACCCGCCCTTGGAAACTTGCCCCATAAACAATGTACACTTCCTAGACCATGCAATCTTCAAAATAAAAATTGTAACCTTTGGTAATCAACTACATTTTCCACATACATAGAAATTTTTGAAACTTATTAAAAAAAACCTAAACCATAATTCACCACACTATAGACACTTTTTAACAAAAATGTAAAATTACGACTTTGTTACCCAATGAGAAGTGTTCTAATATAGACAATGGGTCGTGTCTCATATTATTTGTTATAGTTTTATTATTCATTATTTTCACTTAACTCGCATAAATAATTTTGTTCTGCATTTATATGCAGTTGTACTTCGCAGCACTTCACTTGCAATTTCTAGTTAATGATATTATTACAGTCTAATATGACCACAACATAATTTTTATTTTTTATTTATTTTATTTAAAACATCTTTAGGCAGGATAACATATACAGGCGAGATCTTACCGCTGAAAGGAAGTCCTCTCCTTTAAACTTCTAACCTACTAAACTTTGCGTATCTCAATATATTTCCTTAAATCAAATTAGTCCACTCGTTAAATTAGTATATATAGTATAGAGAATTTTGTCTGTCAATCTCAGATATACAAATTTTATGAAATTACGTTTTATGCATGCACCGACATGAGAACTTTAACCTAATAACTTTGATATGTATATGTTTTATGTTGTTTGTTGAATGGACTTCTTTAATAATAATATTACAGACGTCTAATATGAACACAACATAAGGACAGAGAATTTCGATTGTTTATCAATATCATCATGTTGGATCAAAATCACGTTTTATGCAAGCACCGACGAGGAAAGATTAAACGTAATTTTGATATGTACATGTTTTATGTTATGTGTTGATTGGTCTTACATAATTACAGTTCAATGGCTTAATGTTAATAATATTACAGTTTAATGGACCCGGAACCCTGACCTGGGGCCCTTGGCGGCCCCTAGCCCCAATCATAAGTGCTCGCGCTTCGCTCGCAACCTCACCATTGCACTTCTCGTGGCTACGGTCCTGCTATGACGTGTGTGGCTGAAAGTGTTTGGTTGAATCATGGTAGAAAGAAAAAAACAATCAACAATTGTCGGAGGGTGGGGGTGGAGAAACACACCAAAATGTACGGTATCAAATGTACGATATTATTTATTTAATAATAATATTTAATTTGTATACAATAACGTTTTATCACTGAGAGAACAGATAATGCTGTCAAAATATTGTATATACATGGAGACTTGCATGATCAAAAGTTCTTGCCAAGATTTGGTATGTTGGTCCCTGGCGCGGCTGGGCTGCTGGGCCGCGGCTAGTTGCCTGGAATCGTAAATAGGCCGTGAAGTAAAAAGTTTGCGGAACGCTGGCTTAAAGTAAGGGCCACATAGATATCACACAGATATTTTAAACACTTTAATTATAATTCTATTTAAGCTTATCAATGTTGTAGCCTATATAGCTATCAATACTTTAATTTTGTTTTGGTCTGTTTATCAAACCCTGATCACTATTCACTGCTTTGAGACTAGAGTAATTAAGTGGTAGTTACATAAGCCATGTGATAATTGGCCCTTACTCTATGCCTATCACAATTATATTGTTTATTTGTATAATAGATCTCTTGTATCAGCCACATTTTGTCATTTAGTTTTGTAAGCTGAAGAAGACCCGGAGAGGACTGGTCGAAAATTTCTTTTGAAATAAACAAGTGTTTTATAGTCCACATCCACATGACTCGTTGCTTCAATTCTTTGTTTCAACGCCTTATATTATATATGTATATATGTATATATATATATATGTATATATATATATATATATTTTGCGAAAAAAAGTAAAATATTTAATATATAGGCTATTAATCTACAGTAATGTGTTTTAATAGGTATACCATCAGGCAGAGACGACTCGAACCCTAATGGTGGCAGTGAAGGTAAAATACTATTCCATAGGAAATTTGGTAAGTTTAACCATACGTTTGTTTTTAACTAGGCCTATTGATGTTCCACGTTTGAAAACTTGTGTCACAGGAACACCAACTTCCTGATAATAACTGCTGTTGGAGTTGAAGTGGTAGTACTGTACAAATATTATCTGATAATTTATGCATTCAAGCATAAACCGGAAGCTATAGCAATGTCAATTCACCGGGATTGTGCTTTCGATATTATAATTTTTTCTCCAGCATATGAATAAACAAAATGCTTGTCTGGGATATCTGATCAATATTTCCGATCATGTTTTTTTTTTTTTTTTTTTTTTGTTAAGGTTTTTTCTTTAAATGTAAATATAGGCCTATTTATTATTATTAATCAAATAAGTTGTTTTTTTCTCTTATGGAACTTTCCGCAAAGCTCTGCCCCTTGGAAATAGTCAATAAGCCCAATGGCCCACAGAATGATAGCGTAAATGTACTTGAACCATAAGGGAACTAATTCCTCCAAGCCTGAACATGTGGGTTTATAGGATAACACAACGTGTTTGTGAGACGTTATTCTTGGCCCCGTTGTGATGACTTGTTTTGTTGAGTTTTGAGAGGAAATGTTTACCACCATATTATTCATAATACAAACAGCAGAATTACAATACACATGCCTAATCAATAGTGTAAGCCTTTAATTTTAAAATGTTGACAAAGGTGGTTACCTAAAACTTGAGTATTATTGTTAATACTATTTCCCCCAGTGTTCAGCCAACGCACGAAAAAACCGTTCTATTTAAGAACGGTTCTTTGTGGCGTCCCACAGAACGGTTCTTTGGCACAGAATGAATTACCGTGTCGGGAACACCAAAGAATCGTTCTTCGGTGTCATATCGATATTTCATTGCATCATTGAATATTTTCATTTCTTATTCAGGAAACAGTAACATCAGTATTGTAATGTTGTCAATCATGTCAATGCTAATAATTACAGTTCCATAATGTGTACGGTAAGTGTTGTAATAGCCTATTACAGTATTTGAATGTAATAACTGCACAGTGCACCGTCTAATTCCGAGACCTTTCAAATTCGTGACCACTTTTTCAAAGAAACAAATAACAATATTCAAGGTCTAGTCGCCACACTGAGCTAACCCTCTCTGTTAAAACTAAACACAAAGACCCACCCCAAATTTTCAGGTCCAAAGGTGGTCTCGAATTGGAGGGCGAACTGTATAGTATGAACAATAACTAAGTGTTTCAGAGAAATTATAAACACATATAATGCACCAAATTCAATAAACTTGCAACTTTTGGTAACTAATATATATATATATATATATATATACTGTCTCTTATACACATCTTAGTCAATCTGAATTGGATGTCATATTCAGCCAAAACTCAAAATTATATTCAATTTAATGTTATTCACCAACAAATTTATTTATTCGCAGCCAACTCCTAAATATTTACAAATTCCCAGCTTTCATTAAATTGTTATTTTGCATTGTTTTTCCTTATTTTTTCTAGATACATCAGCTTTACTGCAGCAACAAGAATGGCAAAGAAATGCAATCTTTATGCTATGCACTCGCAACTTAGTACAAGCATGTTGCCATCCTCATTTAACTCGCTTCATAGACAATGCAGTAACTTCCAATGTTCAGCAAACACGTCTATGCAAATTAGATTGCAATGGATCACACCCAATCATAGTATTGGAATCTCAGGATGTTTACGTTTGATTCAGACTCAGATTAGTATTGTCATAACAAAAAAAGTAGTATGAACTTCCTTTCCAAAATTGCAAAGTAAACACACATATTGAAAGACAAATTGCACAAAAACAATTATATATAACTAGAAATAATTATAAAATAGACATAGATAATCAAAGCCGGGCACTCATTGCGTACGACCGTGTTGTCGGCCGATGTGATTCCATAAAGAGCGCAATGCAACGACGCGCGCAACGGATCGTTTTTAATGACGATCTGTTCAGACTGCCACCGACAGTTAGCAGACGGCGTCGCGTCGTCTATCGCTCACAGACAGCGGAGTTGGATTCGTCCTGCGACGGTCGTACAACGCAGTGTCTGCCTGGCTTAACAGTGAAAAAAGAGTTAAATTAGAGAAGTATGAACATTTAGGACTAAGGTTTTATGTTTATCTTTTAACTATTGAATAGGCGGATGGCTGTCGGTATAAATGAATTTCTGAAACTGTTTGTCCTGACTGGAGTGTGACGGATTCTACCTTAACTACTTGTGATAATAGTATTATGAAGGAGATGAGTATTCTTCATGTATAATGGCCTTAAGTGTTCTAGTGATAAATTTATCACAAAATAATCAAATTGCTCAGCATACATACCAAAAATCTTACAAGCTAACTTAATAATCCCAGTGAGTTTTTGTAGACTTTCTTTGGATAATTCAATATACCAGACAATACAGCAGAATGATGTGGAAGACTGGATGACAGAAACATAGGACATATTAATATTAAGTTTTTTGTTTCAATGTGTATATTACCATGACGTTTTCCTCACTAATAATATTACTACAAGGGATCGGAATTGATTGTGACATAACTTGCATTATTGTAACAATTCAACTTTCATATAAATTCATATAAATGCATTCCTTTACTGATCTAATACAAGATCAGACTCTGCTGATTGGTAGTGGGTTAGGCTTATTAAACGTTGCCAAACATAATTAGTCTGATAGAATTTTTGCATTATAAGGAAGATATTAATCGGAGCTTATTTTATAACTTTTCCCTGCAGATATTTAAGCAGGAAAGTACATAGTAAAGGTAGTGTTTTAAAGCGCTTTTATTTGATTAGCTTCTCGGTAATAGGAGTTTAAAACAATGTAATGAAGTTAAAAATACCCAGAAAATTAGGTACAGTGGCAAATTCAAGGATGAATGCAAGTCCTATCTAGGCATATTCTTTTTATTATGCATCAACACAATCTAGACTAGAGCAGTCACTCTATGGAGTGCATGCTTCCGCCCTGTACCTGAATACCAACACTACTCAGGCCGTGTATGATGGGTGAAACTGCAGCATACCCTCAATGAAATAATGGAATCACCGGTCGTATTCATGCACATTATTTTCTTTTCTACATTTTGTTGTTAACTGGACCCACAAGTTTGTGTATGAGTTGGTAACTGTAGTCCTACCTGCTAGATTGGTGGAAAGGCACAACACCATTACATAATGTCCCTGAGGCCAAAAGCATAGACAGTAGTTCTACCGCTCGTAACAAAAATTTATTGGTGGAATTAGTTAACTACATATCAAGAAGGTATGTACTGTGCTTCCCAAAGAGAAGACAGTTTTAAGATGAACAAATTTGGATCTTATATACCTATAGATTACTACAGTGTTATGTCACGATACCACGCGATACTACTCCGTTGCTATCGTTGCAAAAAGCGTTCAACCGGACGCCATTTTCTTCACTGACAAAACATTGATCCCAATTTCGAGCGTAATTATTAAGATGTTGTATCTTACTTTTTCTTTGTAAATTTTTATTGCTGATTAAATGTGTGTTCGATAACTAATATAATGCGAGCTTTTGTGTTTTTAGTACATTTTGATGGTAAAATATTAGATTTTAAAATGCCTATTCCAGAAAGCCTATGAAGTTATTCAGGCATATTCAACGGTAACTAACGTCCGTGGTACTCTATAGTACCTTCTGGTAATACAATACTAGATTCCATGGGCATTTTGAAAATACTCCACAACCAACAGACTGAATCATTTATATGTCAAATTTGCTTTCTATGATGATGGCGTTGAAGTGACAACACTAATATAAAATAGCGCTGAGAGTATTAAGATAAACTGGTTGCCATGAGTTTACATAATATTAACAAAGATATATGTTCATAAATATCCAGGCCATCTATCTGTACATTAGGGGGGGGGGGGGGCCCATTGCACAAGTGGAAGCCTGAAACCCCTTCTGTTGCTGGCCAATCTCCATTGCACATTGCCAACAAAAGTACATCATAAAATCAATCAAAATCAATATTTCATTAAAATTCAGTTTGGCTCTAGACAAACAGATAAAAAAATATACTAAATTTCATTAAAAGAAAGTACAATTAAAACAAGCCTCTCTGTCCATAAAATAGCAGTCAATGTTCATCTGGTATTTTTATATATCCATACAAGTAGATATACTTTATGATACTTCTTTAAAAATGATTTGCATATGCTTATACACGTCCTGTGTACTTGAAATACTTTTTGTAGTCCGAGTAAAAACCTTTGTAAATTTCCTTGAGGCCATCAGGCAGAGTGGCCCCCCAGCAAAGATAATGATTTATCATCGCAGATAGAAACTATGCTGTTTAAACCATTTCCCAATGATTTCTAAAAGAAAAAAAACAAGTTTAAAATATTACAATTATCTCTCTCTCCTACCAATACCATTCAACTTGTGAGAATGGTGTAACAAAATGTATTGGTGACAATTACTTTCCTTCAATGGCTGCTGTGTTTCAGCTGAAGTTACAATAGCGCATCGTCTTTCAGATGATACGTTTAAGCCGTTGGTCCTGTGTGCATTATGTCCCACGTGCATATTAAACAATGCAGTACTCTTCAGAAAAGAGTAGGGCATTGTCCCCCAGTGTACTGTCTAATCATCACCAGAAGGACCCCACTGAAAATAAGTTTTCTTCTGGAGTTTTGTGGGCTATCCTTGGTGTTATACTTGTATCCACAGAATAAATCCAATCAAATCCAATCCAAGATTTGGACTGATAATACTGTACCATAAACTATAAATAATCATATTATTCTATATCATTACCTTAACAGCTGGATGGAGTGTTCCTTTCTGCAACTGATGGACATATTCTGCTACCAGAACAACTATCACTTTCTGCACATCCTCTTTATGGGAAGCCAAAAGTGTCAATAATCTAAAGATATCATATAATAATAAATATATGGAGCGCCAAATGAGTTGCGAAAACGCTAAATTTAATATAACTAGGCCGATTAACGAACTACTTTTATCATTGTAAGTTCGTCAATCGGTTTATCATACTTTTTTTTTTTAATGTTTTGTTGTCTTTCTACTAAGTAACAACAGAGGTTACTTAAAAGCAAATAAAATGAATACTATAATTACTATAGTAACTTTTTAATATTATGGTATTTATAGGTTATTTTCTAGTTTGTTACATTCATAGTAGGCCTACCATTTTACTCTTTTACCGGACGGTTTTTATTTTCGTTTTGTTATCGATCCTACGTTTCCTACTACATAACAAATACAGCAAATAAAATGAATACTAAAAATTTGGTATTTCTCCCTTAATACGGTATTATTTTTTGATATGATATTATTTATAAAAATCAAACATTTTATCAGGAAAAACCAGCCAATTTGTCATTTAAATTAATGTAACATTAGTTTATTAACAATTATTTTTATTAGTAAGTTCATTATTGTTACTATATTGCTGTATAACTTGGTGCTATATTTCTTATTTACAGAAACAACGCAGATGTTTCGAAGTTGACCGAGTTTGAGATACGTTTTTTTTTTCTTGCGATATATATTGATATAATTTTTATTATTAATGCTTGAATCAAATAAAAATTTATGGAATAAGTACAGTCAATAGATTAGATTCGCATACGTTTTTTTTTTTCTTGTCTAACGTTTCCATTTACCATAAATATTCTGATCATGTTAATAATAATATTGTAAAGGAAATATGTATTTCCATATTTATATTTTCCATATAAAATTATCACTACATTGATAATTGCATGCTGTACATTTTAAAAGCCTTTTCATGCTTCTGTTATATTCATAAAATCATATAAATATATATTCATATTTTTGAACTGTGCAAAGAAAATTAAAGATTTCAAGTGAAGAATGATAATGTGTGTATTATTCGTTTATTTCTTCGTGTTTCCTTCAATTCTCTTGCTATGTTTTATCCAAACTCAGGAAGCTGCAAGAAAAATGAATAAATTTATTGTATAAAAAGATCAGGTTAAATATTGTAATGATTATTGTTTTAACTGAATTATGAAATAGATTTCAGATAGTAACAACATTCAGTTCAATTAAAATCAAAGATACATTTTACTGACCATAATTATTAAAGTATAGTATATGAAAATGCAACAAAAAGAATAGCATGCACATACTAAATTCCATTGTTTCAATTACAAGATGTTTCAATCATGAATATATCACCGTAGATGGAAGAAAGAGAATATAGTAGAAAGATATGTTAGTGGAAAAATAGCAAAACAAAAATACTTAGGCCTATGATAAACAATTGATTCACGAACTAACTATAATAATATATAGGGCCTAGGCATATTAAATTTTGCGTTTTCGCAACTCCTTCGGCGCTCCATATATTTGTTCGAAATAAACCGCGACCGAAATGAGGCGCGACCGAAACGAAGCGCGACCGAAATGATCGGCTACCCATCTGTATGACCCTAGCTAGGCTGCCTGACGGCCTACTAGGCCTAGGATAGTATCTTTCTAGCAAGCTAAACCTGCCTAGGGCCTAGCTAAGGCTATATAATAAGCCTAATACTCTTCAAAATAAACAGATAAAATAATAGCACATCTGCTAGGCCTATGCCTACAACTCAGGTACAGTAGGTAGGCAATTTTACCTTTGTAACTTCGGGAAGGATGGGGCCACCACCAGACCCATCGTCTTCGTCGGCTGTGTCCCGTCGTACCCGACGACTAGAGAACTCGTCGTAGTTGGCCGGTCACTAGACATCCCTTCTGAATCTGTAAATATTTTTTCCTAGTAAAAATAATGAGAAAATACCTGCCCATCGCAGGCTAGGCGCCATGTTCGATCACGTAATGTTATTATTTATGTGTTGTTGTGTGTGCGAGGAAAGTGTGGAGAGTGTGTGTGTGTGTGTGTGTGTGTGTGTGTGTGCGCACTCACAAGTTTAGTCTAGTCACCTGACTTTTTCATCCATTTGCGATTTAAACACGGAGAAGTAGCCTACAGTAACAATTACGGCGTGGGGTCTTTTCGACTCGACCGTTTTTGTTTCCGCCCATAAATGTTTTTTTTTTTTTTTTTTAATTTAAATGCAATATTGAAAATTAATATTCATTTCAAATTTATTTACATTCCGACTTTATATGATTATTATTATTATATCATTAGGCCTATATGGATAAGGGGATAAGGGTTCAAATTAAGGGGTGAGAGTCAAAATTTTTCCCAAAACCTCAAAAAGGAAAATTTTGATTCCTAAATGGCGAGAAATGAGCTTTCCCGAATTTTGAGCTGGTGTATTTTATAATGACTTTTAAGTTCTTCAAAATTCAAAGTTTTTCCCTAACTCTTGAAAACGGACAGGTAGGCCTAAAAACTTTCTTATTCTCATTACAGTAGGCCTAAATAGGCAAGGGCGTCGATCCGTGGTTGAAAATCGGTTGAAAATTGGGGGGGGGGGGCATCATATCGATTGTTCCCCCCCCCCACTTTTCACCAATCTTCTATAATTAATACCCCACTTTTAAAAGTGAATGGAAAGAATAACAATTACGCATGACTCATGATTTTTGTCCTTTCACTTTTCCAAGTGCGGTCCGTATTTTCCGGACCAAAATCGAGTGTAAAAACGCAATTGTTTATACATTTCGTAACCATCTCAGAAACCACTAGATCGATTTTATCGGTGCAGCAGTTATCAGAGGCTAAATTTATTAAACAATGTACTGAACATTGTTAAAATTGGAAGCGTGTATACTTATTGGGCCAATATTTTTACAAACTCAAAAGTGCACAATTTCTACAATAAACGATTTATTCCTTTTGTATATTATTATGACCCGTACGTATATACTAGTGTTTAATATTTTCTACATACACTGGATTGCTGTTTTTCCTAATTTCAAAAAATTATAGTTAGTCAATTGAATTTTATATAGCCATTATTAAACAATAATTATACAGCCTTTGACACGGACATGTTACATTGACGCAATCTCGCAATGACGTCATAATAATCAGTGGCGGATTCAAGTGGGGCCGAGCCGACCCTAAATTTTTCAAAATTATTTTTTAAAAATGGAAAAAACAAAGGTAAATTATAATTAGGATTTAGGTCTGAGAGTGCCATTTCCGGCAATCTCAGACTTTCCTCAGTCCCAACCATGGTGGGGCTGAGGTGATCTACTTTCCAAAATTGTGCAAGTCCCTCCCTGTCCCCCCCCCCCTCTATTTTGCTTTCCTGGTAATGATGAATTAAGTAAATCACAAATTTATTGTGAAATCAAAATGCTAACTAATATTTTTTGTGCCCCATCGCCCTAGCATTTATAAAGTTATTAAGTCGGTTATTTAAAAAAAGAGAGAAAAAAAAAATCCCCGCCAGTTAACGGACAGAATCTTTCCTGCATTCTTTTTGCATATTAAATTGGCTGATTGGCTAATCGATTTTTATGGATTTTGTACTGGTAAAATGTAGGCCTACTATCTGTCAATTAGCAAATCCTATTGATTGATCCTATTAAACTGAATTTTTTAAAGGTTTTTTTTTCTCATGTCTCGTGAAAGGCCTATTTTGACAGACAGTGCACAGGAGCCGCGCCAGGAACTCCCCGACGAAGGGCCCCGGGCCCTACTCCCTGAGGATCCACACCCCAATACGTTAGATGAAAGAGATGAAATAAAGGTGTACCGAATGAAAATACTCTCAGACTCCCTATCCCCATGCACTCGTCAACTCCGCGGCGCACAGTGGGCCAGGGCGAAATCAAAGTGTGCCAAAACTCCATTTTGGTGACTACGGTATGGGTTTTACACTTTTTTCCCATGATTGAAGATGGGTATACCCTGGTGAATCTATCCTGAAAATATTTTACATTTAAACGAATTTTAAGGGTAGTATTTTTCAACAAATGTCGGAAATTTCTCTATAAATATTTCAAATGCTATAATTGACTACATTATATCAAAACACGTTTTTTTTTTCTTACAGACAATTCGGAATTACATCAAAATGTATACGTTTCTTGTATATAAATTGGGGAACACAAATATATGTTTTGGTTTAAATTTGAAGTTTGCATCAATAATAAATCGTTGTTTAAACGACAGAAAAAATATTTAAAAATCTATTTTTAGAAAAGTAGGAGAGAAAGTTTAGATTCATGTGGATTCATGCTTTAATTTTTACATCACAATCTTCAGTATAGCCTTAGCTTTATGATGGTACCAAATTTTGCTTCTACCTTTTACAACTTTTCGAGCTAGACGCACTTTTATTAGTCTTGTTTTCGTACATTTGAGACACACTTTAATTAGAGCAAACCGAAAATCAGAGGGATGTACGCGCATCTACTCAACCAGTTCATGCAAAGCGTAGGAAAAGCTCTCCAAAAATGTACAAACTGCTCGTGATTTAACAGTAGCAAATCTTCTAATATTGTGTTGCTGTTTAGAATACTTTATTAAATGTTGATCAGCCTAATAATCCAAATAGCATATATCATAATGAAGATGATATTGTGGACATAAAGCCACAACCGGGACACTTGACTACAAGAAGACACACAAACACGTTCTCACTTTCTTCATGAATGGCGGGCCTCTCTCCCCTCTTTATTTCTTAACTCTTTCTTCCCTATAGAGGGCGGTATTACAATTATATCATTACTCTATATCAAAGAGTATAATCGATATATTCATACCTCCACAATACCCCCGCCTCACACAAGCGAGTTCCACCGAGCGAAAAGTATTATATAATACATGGAATGTCAACAAAATAATTATTTAACAGTAACAATGAAAAATTATCAAATTTCTGAACACGAGGAAAATGGTAAGAACAAATCATAATCACCAATCACCTGTGACAAGAGTGTATACCACAATGTTATGTATTACAGCAATTGTGTAGAAGCAATAAAGACAGTAAAATGAATTTTAAAAATTGGTGCAGGAAGAAATCCAGTATGGGCCCTACCAGATCACTCTTCATGGTGAGACACACTGCATGAATAAAAGTCTCTGTTTTATATTAGTGTCCATACACTACATGTAAAAAACCTGTTTGTTTTCTCCTTTTATATTAGTGTCTATACACTATATGTATAAAAGTTTGATAACAAGCAAATGTTGTCTAATAAAAAAAATAAGCATTAATTACTGAGATATCTCTAGTAATAGCAATATTTCTTACTTCATATCAAGCCTGCATTCAGTTGAATTTACATTGAGAGAATTTGAAAGAACTGTGATAAAACTGATATCTTAACAATGAATTACTATCATCATACATCTAAATTATCATGTCATATCATAACATTGTTACAATTCCAATAATCAATCTTGGTTTTGTGAAACTTAATTACATATCAAACATTTAATGAAAATATGATGGCATTTACTATCTTGACTCATCAAGACAAGTCTACTCGTGATGCACATCATTTACACTTTTATGTTTTTTTGTTTTTTTTTTTTTTAACGGTATTACAACATGCTTCAAGTTCCAATTGAATTAACACTATATGCATAAAAACAACAAAAATATGAGTCCATGTTGAGTTATATACACTTCAAAAAATGTCATGCTAACTGCCTCATCCAAAGTTGCCGGCTGGTTACGCAAGACCTGTCGTTTATTATTGTCCTGTAAACCTTGGATAAAATAATGTAGCTCCTCTGTTTGAGTAATCCCTAGTTTACTACACATATGGCTTATACTCGCCGCATAGTCAGTGACACTTTCACCTGTTTTCTGTTTTCGGTCCATCAATGCTTGCCTTAGCTGAAATAAGGTAGCCGGTTTTGGCAGGTATTTTTCCACTAGCCTATTTTTTAAATCCTCGTACTCATGAACATCTTCCTGGGTACGTAGCCAGCGAGCTGCAGCATATTTCTAAGGCCCGTATATTTGCGCCTGTCGTCCCAGTTCGTAAATTCGGCATACCTCTCATAACTGTCCAACCAGTCTTCTACGTCCTGTGTCGCACTCCCAGTAAAAACAGGCGGCCTATAAATGGAGTTCGCCATCTTGGTTTTCTTTTCTTTCAAACTCAATAAAAATAGTGTTACCAAGTAGGCTGGGTCCAAAAGTGTTTTCAAAATAAAATCCTATTAGTCTATTATAAAAATTATGGTTGCCCGGGTCTTCCACCAACTGTGGACATAAAGCCACAACCGGGACACTTGACTACAAGAAGACAAACAAACACGTTCTCACTTTCTTCATGAATGGCGGGCCTCTCTCCCCTCTTTATTTCTTAACTCTTTCTTCCCTATAGAGGGCGGTATTACAATTATATCATTACTCTATATCAAAGAGTATAATCGATATATTCATACCTCCACAATATCTATAAGCAGGCCTATATCTAGGCGTCAATTGTTTTTAACTTTATTCAAAGGCATCCAAGATTTTGAAAAGCTTCCTGTTTCAACTTAAGGAGAGGTGAGCTACTGTGAGTAGTAACGACAATAATACGTTACGATAACGTGACAATAACGTTACAGTTTTGTGTTGAAAACTTTATTTTGTAGAACCATAAATACTGAACATAATTTCACAACGTTTGCACGTTCCTACAACGTTGTGTAGGCCTAAACGTTATTTTGTGACATACCTAATAACCATTGGCCAAGAAAGTTATAAGAACGTAAACACGTGTTTGCCGGGTTTCTAAAGAAAATAACTCGTGGCTTGACAACAGGATTCCATTTTCTGATGAAGTTATTAACGTTTTGACACAGAACAGAGATATTCTTTCCACACCAGCAGAAAACCCACAAGAGACTTAAAAACAACCCAAACCGGGACGTCCTATCGAAGTATGGGAGGATCTTTCCAGAGAGTTCGCACAAGGGTAAAGTACATTAGAGATGTTGACATAAAATTTACGCACTGAACTTCTTTATGCAGCATTGCAAGGGGCGTTCAAGAAGAATCGATTTTAAAGTCCACTATGTAGAAAATACATACACATTTTATTTCTCTGACGAATTGTAGTTTATCTCCCCAACGCCGGGGGGTGGGGGAGCTCTCCTCGACGGGGACCCTTCCCTCCCCCTGCTGGCGTCACCCCTGAGGCGCAAACCGGAATCGTTCACGACAGATGAAACATTGTCCATCTTTATAGCTCTATAGTAAAATGAGACGGCTCCTTACACCAACATAAGAGTAGAAAAAAAGCATTGCTATCCTGGTGGTACAGTATACCTGTCAAACACGATAGCAAAAGTTCCTCTTCAAACCCTCCTCGTTCCCACTGAGAATTATAAAAAAACATTAAACGACCGTTATCGATACTTTTACAATATAGGCCTAATATGATTGAGGACGGAATTAATATATCATGACATTGGTGTAGGCCTAATGTCTGATTCTATGGAATCTCAAATGCAAACACATTTTAAATTTTAAAAATGTAAAATTAAGTTGTCTGGTATTATTATAAATTTTGATATCGATTTCGATTTCGATTTATTAAAAAAAAAGTCTATATTCACTGTAAGATTAACGATAGAAATGTTAATGTTGGCCTATGCCTAAAACAGAAAAAAATTAAAAACAAAATCAGAAAAATGTATTTTGATGACGTCATGGAAAAGACAAAAAGTTTCCCACAGAAATTCTTTTGTCCCAAACCTCCTTAAACATTTCGAAAATCATTGCAATATGAACTTGTTTTGGTATTACAATGAAAACTGACATCTTCCAATCAGAAAACAGTACAAAAATGACGTCATATAGATTTGAAAATGCTTTTATTGAATTCTACGGGTATGAAAACCTCTAGATAAGTCTTGTATTCGCTTAGATTTGCTTCTGTAATGAGTAATTAATTTTGGCACACTTTGACTTCAGTCTGGCCCACATGTGCGGCGGCCCTCCCAACCCACTTTTCAGGTCCGCTGCCGTTTGTAATGTCTTTGTGTCCGTGATACATTTGTCGTTTGACATGCTTCCTTGATTTGTTTAAGTGTAACATGTGTGAAGTACAGTTTCCTGAAGTTTAATATAGATCCACCTCTCAATTGCAGTCTCAACATTATACTAGTCATTACTAGATTTCATTTTCCGACAGTGGGCCTACAAACCCCTCATAATAATTATAGCTCAGTTGGAAAGGCATAAATTAAGCTTATTATAAAATGTTTAAACACCGTTTCTAAGGCCGGCGTAAATAATACTATTTCAAAAGGTAAAAGGAGCATTAATTTCGAGTTTTATTATCCGAAAAACGGAAACAATGTGAACTTCTTTCTAATAGTGTTTAACTCATCAGTTCGAAACTATAGAGGGCCGCATATCAAGTCATCCAGAACCATAAACTTTGAGCAATTGTCATTGATCCAGATTCCATCACAACGTATGGAACCGTTTCATAAGTAAGTACCTTTTTTGTTATTTGTAAGAAGTTATTGTTTTACTTTCATATACCATAGAAAACAGATGAAATTGTTTGAGTTTTTGATAACTATCAAGACACTGTGATTTACTAGAAGTTTCAAACTCAAACATTCATTTGAACGACTTTCGATACGTACTTCAGTATTTAAAGATGTATTGCCCCATGCTAAATACCAAAAAAATCATAACTATATATATTTTTTTAAATTAACTTGCCCATTTTGAAGTAACACAAAAGTTATGAAGTTGAACATAGAAATTAGTGTATTTAAAAAATGTCTACCCATCAGTTTACAGCGAAAAAATGATAGAAACACTTCCAGTCACTGGAAGTGTTTTATTTTTTTTATTATAATGGTTTGGTTTAAACATCAGGGTAAAAATTGTTTAATTCAATAATTTCTAAGCACAAGTTAATAGTTTGTATGCTATTGCAATATGAGCAAGTTTATTTCAAAATTATTTTTTTAACGATTTTTTAACATTAGCAAGGGACAATACATCTTTAAACAATTCCCTTAAAATCCCTTCCATTTTTGAGCTGCTCTTTAAAAGCTTGTATTTTGTGATTTTCTGCTCTTAATATTAAATATTGTGACAAGAAAACAACTTAACACCTTCAGTCAGGTTTTTCTTCTTAATAAGATTCGGAGTAGGCCAATATATGGCGTGAAGATATGATCGCAGTGCATGTGTATTTAAAGACAAAGTGATTGGTCTAGAATTTCAAACGGTGCACTTGTTTACCGAGATAACCATTTGAAAACTAGATTCACGTGAACTTTACTTAGCAATATCTAAACCATTATTGCAAATTAATATATGTATTAATTTGATTTTTATTAGTCTCTAAAGAAAGTGATAACAAGGAAACAACAGCTTCATGCCATCATTTTTCTCCTCAAGACGATTCGAGGTACTGTATAGAATTATCAAAATGTTGAATGTTTGTATACTTCTTGTTCTGTCTCCATTGTGGCCCCATTTTACGGGTAAGTTACTTTTTGCAGTTATTCTGTATTTGAACATCGTTTTCCCCATTTTACATTGTTTAAAAAGCATTTGACAAGAAACTATAATCGTAGGCCTATAGCCCTGGCAATCTGTGGACTGACCCGAAACTTAATTGCAACAGAAATAATTTTGGCAGAATTTGTTCCAGCAATATACATGAAATAACGTACTAAAAGTCCGAAAAAATCCAATCAAGGGAATAAGCCTATTGTTAATTTTAAAGATATAAATTGAGTTAACATCCAACGATTTATTGTGTCACATCGCCCAACTGCTGCGTTTAAGCGTAAAAGCCTGTGCTAACGAAGAAATATTTTGACTGACGTGTTATCGTACCGAATACCCAGTACGTTCCAAAATACTTGGAAAAAAATCGCAAGTGATTGTATTGCACTTCTCGTTGATTTAAAAATTTGTTACGTAATTTTTTATATTTATTACCAGTCAATTATTTGATTTTTTTTTTCTTTTTTTGCAAATACACCAAATATGTTGAAACGAAGTGGAATGTTGGGGCTTATATTGCTTATCTAATTTTCAAATAAAAGAAAATATAATTTCACCGAAATGTATAGTAAAATACAGTACTTTTGAAAATCTCATACACTTATCACATAGTTAATTACACGCAAACTTATGCAATGATTGGTTACATAATGTTTTAATTGATATAATGTACAGATGGCTATCTTCAAGTACAGCCTACAGGTACAATTACAAAAGAATTTGGGGAAACGTTTGTGTCTTTCTGTTACTACAACGTTTCCAAGGTACACCGATGGAGCTTTGGAAGTCAAATAATAACAGGTTAAAACATATTTTTTCTCATTATAATAAGCCTATATATCACATACACACACATACACGCATATAATAATAATAATAATAATAATAATAATAATAATAATAATAATAATAATAATAATAATAATAATAATAATAATATAAGGAAAACAGGAAACAGAGTAGAATTTTTAGAACACAATTTGTACAGCGAAATATTCATGAGAAAATAATAAAAAATTGTGTTCTGAAAGTCTTCTCCCTTTCCTATTTTCTTCTGTTATTATCCACATGAACATTCGTGGAGATTAAAAGGTAAAATACTGAAAAACAACATTGCTGTGGGAAACAATGGCTGGATCTCGGTAGAGATACAAATTTGATAAGCAACAGCTAAAACGTGAACGTAAGTAAACAGCCAGAAATTGAACCAGAATTTTCGGACAACAACTGGCGAGTGAGTGAGGGTAGAAAAAGCCAGATACTGTAGTATAAAGTGAGAATTTCATGCAAGCGTGATTAGAAACAATAGGCTAGGTGATATCATGAAAGCCGAAACTAAACTTTAGAGGCAAGCCTCTATAGATAAGCCAAATGATTAACACAGATAAGTTTGGAATGCTTATTGGATTAATTTAGTG